TGAATGGAGGTGGGTGGAGGAGTGGAGGCCAGCTGTCAATGGTGGGCGGGGCATGACCAAAGTGGGCGGAGTTTGCAACGAAAATTCATCCTACTTACTATAAAGCGCTTCGTCTGTCGTCTGTCTGTCTGTATGTCTGTCACGAAATTCCCTAGCTCCTCGGGATCCGCCTGGAGGGACCGGGTCAAGTGTGGGATGGGTGGGCAAGGTCTCACGAAGTACAAAACACACATCAGCTAAGCGGAGCCCCGCCCACAGTGGGCGTGGCGTGCATCGAAATGAACTGTACTGAGACCAAGATTTCAATTTCAGTGACAAAACAGCCTCGAAACTGGGCCAAAAAGTGGGTAAAGGTGTGCATTGGTAAGTCACATCGAATTAGGAGACCCACCCCGGTGGGCGGGGCGTTCTCCAAAAAAGCAGTGCTTTATGAAAAATTTCATAACTCGGTTGGGAGAAAGCCTACAGAGCAGAAAACAAATTGGTGTAGGGAGCAATGTCTAAGGTGTTCCGCATACATGACGTGGGCGGAGGCCCGCCCACAATGGGCGGGGCGCGCTCTGAAGTGTACAGCATTTTCTACAAGTCCTCATAATTCGGGCCGGGGAAGTCTTAAAGAGCCGGAAAAAGGTGGATAGAGGTGGGTGGAGGAGTGGAGGCCAGCTGTCATGGTGGGCGGGGCTTGACCAAAGTGGGCGGAGTTTGCGACGAAAATTCATAACTCGGCTCCAAGAAGTCCCGGAGGCCGGGAAAAAGGGAGTAGAGGTTGGCGAAGGAAAGGAGGTCAACTGCTATTAGTGGGCGGAGCACGCACCTAAGTGGGCGGAGTTTGCCAAAAGTGTCGTAATTTGGTTCCAAGAGGTCCCAGAGACCGGTGAAAAAAGGGGTAGAGGTCGGCGAAAGGAAGGGGGCAAATGCTATTGGTGGGCGGGGCACGCACCGAAGTAGGCGGAGTTTGCCACGAGATTTATTGTCCGGAAGCAGTCCGGAGACCGAGAAAAAGAGGATAATGGTTGACGAAGAAAAAGAGGTTGAAAGCCGTCGATGATGGAGCGGATAGAATTTAGCTGAGAATTCAGATATTCGTGGTGTATCAAGCCAAATTTGAAAATTTTCGTCGCACCATCAAAATTCGCCGCAGATCTGTGTTGTGCGCGCAATGCGTGCGGCGCCAACTGGTAACACATATAAAACTTTTATCGATCAACATAGAAGGAAGAACGGTATAATGTTTGAGTTGATCAACTTCTTTCTAGGCATGATCCGAGAATCAGTCGAAAACGCTTCGACTGAGGGTTCCTCACCTTTTCATGCGGCTGTGCTAAGGCAATGAGAGACTGAGGTAGGAGAGGAGAGAATAGCAAGGGAGAGAACGCAATAGATGATAGGGGCCAGTCTGTTGCGGACGAGGAGCATCGCAGCTGCTGCAGCTAACTTTACGAGGCCCTCACGCCCTTGTCGGGTGAACTCGACGACCGGGAGAGGCCCATCTGTGGTTATCCTCAAAGGGTCCATCCTGACTTGAGGGAATCGCTCACCCAACTTCTGCCTAGGATGTGCCTTTGGTCGATCATAGAGTAATTGAAGATATGGTCAACGAGCGAAATTTCAAAAGGACTCAGAGCGCGAGTGCAGTAACGCCGCCACTTACGACTAACGTACTTTTGCCCTCTGTCCATGTTCATATCTGCTCCATCTTCCTACTTACTATAAAGCGCTTCGTCTGTCGTTCTGTCTGTCGTTCTGTC